ACAATTATTGAAGTACGTGTAAATGAGTTAAAACTAATTTGGAAAACAACTGTCTCCTGCATACTGAGAAATTAACTGTATGCCTGTTGAATTCTTATGATATCCTTTAATGATTAATTCAAATACCTTCTGCTTCAAGAAGTTTTCTCTGGTCTTCTCAATTGGGTATGATTTGTCTCTTTTCAGAAATTACAGCTTTAGATTGTATATCTTGCAGCATTTGCTGGGTTTTACCTTACACTCTATTACTTATTTGAATACTAGCTCTAGATGTCAGCAGATGATAACTTTTAGGGTACAGTCTGTTCTTTCTTATTCATTTTTGTATCCCTTTAATCTTTTCCCAGGTTCTTGAATAGCTTATGTATTAATATTGCTGCCTGACTTTCTTGAATACCTGGGTATTTCTTGTTGTTATTATTCTTATTTTTGTTGTTCATTCATTTTCTGGTGTGAGTGTGTCTGAATGAATTAAAATTTAGATTGGAAATTCAAGACCACGAAATCAAGAGAGGGGTAGAATTTCCTGCCCTGTTAATTTTGTCTGCTTCAAAAATGTTTTCTCTAAAATACACTTGAACGTTGCCTTTAATTCGTAATTGATGTAACCCTTTTAGATTTAAAGGTAGAAATCTCCTTCAAACACAAATAAAAAGGCTTTATTTGTTCTAAACACATTCTTTATGATTTTACAGAGCATTCACTATCTCAGTCTGATATTTCCAGAATGCAAACCCCACTCTTAAATTAGTCCTCTTATGACAGCTATTTGAACTTTCTATTTGTTCTTCTGAAATATATCTAATACCATCATATCTTTGGACCAGAAACATACCCCCAAAATACCTAAATAGCCCAATTATTTCTGATTTGTATTAACCTAGGTTTCTAAAAGACCCGAGTCCTGTTAGCCTTTTTGGGTAGAGAAATCCACTAAAATATTGCTTTAATTTTAATTGAGTAAAATTAAAAATTCAGTACCTCAATCACACCAGCAACATTTTAAGCCCTAACAAGTCACATTGGGTTGTTGACTACCTTTGTGGATAGTACAGATATTGTAGAATGTTTCCATCACTGCAGAAAGTTCGATGGGGCAGCAGTGGTTGGGTTTATCTTTTACCATGCAGCAGCTTTCATGGACACTTGACACTAGCTCCCTTCTAACGTCTAACTTCAAAACAAAGAGACGAGTTCTAGGTTTAGTTGCATTTTCACTGAAAAATTCATTTTTTCCTTGTCATTTGTTTTGTAGTTATAACATCTTGTTCTCCATCTTTTTTTCTTACAAGGTAAGCATTTTTCCAGTGCCTGAGAGCTCCCTGATTTTTCTCTTTATCACTGGTTTTGAGTAATTTGATTATGATGTGTCTGGGTGTGGTTCAGTGAGATTCTTGGATCTGCAATCATATAATGGTCATTACATTTGGAAGATTTTGGCCATTATTTTTTTGAATGTTTTTGCCCTCCTGGAAATGTAGATACATGTATATTAAACAGCTTGATACTGTCATGTAACTCACTGAGGCTCTGTTTATTTTTTTCAGTGTTTTATCACTATGATACATTTTGGATAGTCACTATTTCTGCAACTTCATATTCACAAACCTGTTCTTCTGCAGTCTTATCGCCTATAATATCCATCAACTGTATTTTTTTATTTTAATTATTGTGGTTTTCATCTTTAGAGGTTCCATTTGATTCTTTTTTATATCTTTAATTTCTTTCTTGGTTATGGGTCCTATTTTCTGATTCTTGGGATCTCTAGGAGACTTTGACTGGATGCTAAAGATTTTGTATTTTATGTTGTTGAGTATCTGAGTTCTATTTTTTTAAAAGAAGTGTAGTGCTTTGCTCTGATAGACATTTAGATTGTTTTTGGTTTAGTTTGATCATCTTGGGACTTGTTTTTAAGTTTTGTTAGGATGGTCCCAGAGTACCTTTTCTGTAGGGACCATTTATCCCCATTACTAAGGCCTGGCCCTTCTGATGTCTAAACTTGATACTCCAGAGCCAATATGGACTCTGCAATGTTGCTGGTAGGAATTGAATGATTCTCAGCCTCTTTTGGGTCTGGGAACTGTTCAGCTCACAGATTTCTAGTCACTTTTTAACCAGCCTCTTAGAAGGTCACCCTTTGCAGGCATATCCTAGGAATCAGCATAGATTCAAGGGACCCCTGAGACCATTTCTGGAGTTACTTTTCTGTATAGCTCTCTTCTCTCTAGACATCTGCCTCACAAATTCTTGCTTCCTCATATATCCTGAACTCTGATCTCTGTCGGCTCAACTCAGTAAGACCCCAGCTCTGATTTTGGTTACACACACACACACACACGCATGCACACACATACACACACACACACACCAGGTCTGTGACCTGAAATATGCTTTCCAGGTAGAAAGCTGGGCTATTCTAGGCCTTACTTTGTTTCTTTTCTCTCAGATGTCCTGGCTATGCACTGCCTGTGGTTTAGTGTCTGAAAAAAAGTTGTTTCATGTATATTAGCCTGGTTTTCTAGTTGTTTGAGTGGAAAGGGTTAATTTAACCCCTGTTATTCCGTCCTGGCTGAAAACGGAAGTCCTTCAACGGGTGGAAGATTCATGTAATGTGGAAGCACAAGCTAAATACTACACTATGAGTTAAAGCTTGATTTTGCAGAAAATGTTGAAATGATAATGACCAACACTACGACAAAACTCTTTCATTATTGTAAACACTGATAGAAACTGGCAAGTCAGTCTTTGTGTGAGAGATTAGACACATATAGATTTTCAGGTGATTAAGGTCGTTAGGTAGAATTACACAATTGGCAGTTTGGAGTTAAGTTATGAGAGTCATCTATATAGAGTAAAAGGATGGAGACAGAGGAAGTGTGTTGACATTTACAGTGAGAATTCAGAGTACAGCTATGTCCTCATATTAAATTAAACTCAGAGTTGCTGTCAAAGACAGACCACTGGACTCCATGGGTCTGTTCCAATCTAATAATTTTTGTGTTTGCATTTAGCTAACTTATCCCTGTCCAGGAAATAAAATGTCAACCATAAAAGTTGTTTATTCTTGAAAGTAACTCTATGATATATCTAAAAATATTTATCACATAAGAGTAAAAAGAAAATATTATTTCTATGGATTGTGTTACTGATGTTGGCCTGGAGTGGTAAGAAAGATAACCACCAATCCATTCTGGAGCCAAAAAAATGGATTTTTAGTGTATTTTTCCCCTCAGTGTGATTAAAATACACTAGATTATATAAAGAAGCTAAATATTTGTTTAAAATACATATATATACACCTTGATTTTTCTTGTTTGAGTTGATTCTCAGAGAATTTTTTTGTCTTGGTATGCAATAGCTCAAGTTGCAAAATTAAAAAGAAATTATCAGCTTTCCTTTCCTTCAACCTTCACCTTGAATAATTCATAAAGAAACTATTTAAATGTTGCTAACCTGAAATAAAACAAGGCAGCAATATAATCCTTGTTTTTAATGATGCCATAATGTTTATGTGAATAACTAAATGCTTGTGAAATCAGCGTTCATTGTAAAAATATATGTATAATGGAGTGCCCAATATTTAGTAAAATTTTAATAATCCAAGATGTAGTAATTAATAGCATAATTTGAAACATTTTTATGTTACTTGGTTGCTCTTGATTTCAGAAGTAGCTGGTTTAAGTGCATAGTGAGTAAATTTTCAAGCACATCCAATTCACATGCTTTAAGATTTCCACCTCTTTAATGCTCAATTTAGAAATGTCGTTTAAATTATTTTTTAAAAATACGATACACATTAATTATTTTTATAGCGATATAAAGATTTTTTTAAAAGATTTTAAAGATTTTAAAAGAGAATCTTCATATAAAAATATATTTGTCACTGATAAAACTTATCAATTAGCTAATGTTCAACAATGATCATCAATGTCAGAGATTGTATCCTTGTTGAAATTTTAGTTTCACCATATTGGTTTTTTTAAATTGTTAGGCACTTTAGAAGATGGTGCCTGGCAAAAAAAAAAAAAAAAAAAGATGCTTAATAAATATTGTTGAATGAATGAATTTTTAAAACCTTAAAAAAATAAATCTATAAGTGCTTGAGTACTTAAAAATAAAGGTTTCAGTGAGTTGAATTAAGCACAATTAAAGACTCTGCCAAGCTCAGAAAACAGTTTTTAGAAATACTTGCAGTCCTTAGGCAACACAGGAGCCGTTAGTTAAATGAATTTAAAATGACCTTAAGAATAGAAATTTCAACACAGATACCCCAGGCTACTAATTTGCTGATCATTGATGAAAACTAGCTACACATGCTGCTTTCTTTTCTGAAGCTGACATTTGATATTGGTGGAATGAAACAGAATGTACAGAATTAATTCTGGTCAAATCCCTTGTTTTCAAAATCATGTTTTTCTTATGTTTCTCATGTTATTTTCTAATTAAATTTTTGATTTTTAATACCTTTTTTTTCTCTTCCACAGCTTTTAATGGACTGAATTGTTAGTTTCGGATAGAAGAGTTCTGATAATGAAATAGCCAATATGTCTGCCTTTCACAGAAAATGTAGAAATAAAAATGCATGTTCTCAACAATAAATGGAGATTACAGTACCATATTCCATCGTCAGACCTTAGCCATACTGGAATTTCTTTCTCGTTGATAGAATAAGGGGGCTTATTCCTTAAACTTGCTTCTGAAAAATTGATAGACTTAAAAATTTAAAAAAAACTACAAAATATTTAGTCGTTATGCCAGGCTGAATTTTGGATAAATAAATCAGAATTTGTTTATAACTATATACTAAGTGATGAGTGTTTTCTTACTGAATTTTGCAATGCAATGTTCAATTTTATATTACTAAATTTTCTTTTCAAGAAAATCAGTAATACTTAGGGATTTGAAGTTACCTGGTACGCTACTGAAAAACTGTTAAAAGCCAGTGGTATCCATTGAATCTAATTATTTTCCCCTTGATTGTTTGTTATTTTTTCTTTAAGGATTAAAACAAGGTGAGCCGACCATGACTGGCAAAACACAGACCAGCAATGTCACCAATAAGAACGACCCCAAGTCCATCAACTCCCGTGTTTTCATCGGCAACCTAAATACAGCCATTGTCAAGAAAGTTGACATTGAAGCCATTTTCTCAAAGTATGGAAAAATAGTCGGATGCTCAGTTCACAAAGGTTACGCCTTCGTACAGTACATGAGTGAGCGACACGCAAGAGCTGCGGTGGCCGGGGAAAATGCCAGGATCATCGCGGGCCAGCCACTCGGTAAGTCATGCTCAGTTAGGGATTTCACATTACGTTCCAGTCTCTGCACATATCTGGATGTGGTCTTACTGTTTAAAAGCCAGCACTACCGTAATATTGATCTCTTCCTTAACCAATTATAGTGCTTGTATATTTATAACTTATATTATTTTCTTGTTCTCATTTGTTTTACATATAAGTGTCTTATTTTCTATACACATTTATAAACAAGATTGTAGGGGAGGAAGACAATTCCCCTACCATCTAGGTCCTTCTGGCTGGTCTAAGAATTAAAGTGACATGAGACAGAATAACAGGAGAAAATAATACAAAGCTTTATAACTTGTATGCAGGAGAGAAACTCAGAAAAACTGAGTAACTCTCCAGAATGGCCAAAGCCGCCACCTTAAATACCACTTTCACCTAAAGACAAAGGAGGATGCTGGGGATAGTGGCTTGAGGCTTCAAAGGCGATGAAAATGCAAACATTTGTTAAACAAGTATTTGCTGGGCCAGCTATAGAGGATGTTATCTTCTGGTGCTAACTCCTTCCTGGAACAGGCCTTCTATCTTAAATTCTTTTAGACAGTTAGGAGGAAGGGCAAAGTTTCTTTCAGAGTCTTTTGTTCTTAAAAATAATCAAGCTGAAGGGACACATTTTGAGGTGGCCAATTCTGATCCCCTACAAGATCAAGTCTGCTCTGTAATACTTGTTACTTCCACCACCCCTAACGGGGCCAGACAAATAAAAAATATGCATCGCATTTAACTTCATTTAACTTGAAGTGGTGTCTGTCTTCCAGAAAACACTACGCTAAGCAAAAAAATAACTTTGAATTTATGCATATAGCATTTGCTCTGAGAGGCTAATCTATTTTCCTCATTTCCTGTTTTTATTTTTGGGGGAGAAGGGATAGGAAATAGCAGAAGGCAGTAAATCTTGAGAACTGGAAAAAGAATATAACGCCCTCTTTCTTATCTTGTCAGGAATCTTATACGTCGTGCCTGGTCAATCGTGCATTAATCAGATTTATGTCTAATGTCCAAGGAATAATGTAGTTTTTTCAAAGAAAGGAGAAAAATATAGTCAGAAGTAAAATGAAAATACTTAGAAGAAAAAGTTTTTTAATAAATATGTAGGTAAAACATAAAAATTAGACTATTTTTCTACATGAGGAAAAAGTAAAATTAATACATCCTTGATGATTCCTTAATTTATATTTCTCGTCCTGTCCAGATTCATATATTAAACTAGTTATACAGTGTCTTCTCTTGGACATCCAACAGACATCTCAGCTTTATGTGCCCAGAACAAAATTCTTTATTTTTTACACCCCCAACTTCTTCCACCCCCAGGCTTCTCCATCACAATAAATGGAACCTCCCTTTATCCAGTTTTTCAAACAAAAACCTGGGCTCGGTGTTAACCCTGATTTTTGTCTTCCCCCTATGCTCCAAATATAATCCATCATCACGTTTGTTGCCATCAATACATCCCAAACTCAATCACCATTTAAATCTGTACCAATAGCCATCTCATACAGGCCACCGTTATATCTCAGGTGGACTTCTAGAATAACCCCCTAACTGGGCTGCCTCATTCCACTCTTGCCAGAGTCCCTTTAGAAATGTAGATGAGATTATGCCATTAACCTGCTCTTAAACCTCTTACTGCATTTCCGTCTCACCCAGAATAAGCTTTATATCCTACCTACAGGGCCCCACACTACCACACCTTCAGCTCCATCTTCTTCTCTCTGCCTTGTCCCACGTTAGCAATGCTGGCCATCTTGATATGCCTCAGACAGTCTAAGATTGCTCCTTCTCAGAGGCTTTGGATTGCTGTTCCCTCTGCTCAGAAGACAGGTCTTTGCTAATTATTTGGTGCCTGCTTTATTGTGTGCTGTTGCTTGAATTTTACTTCCCCAGAGAAGCTTTTCCTGACCAAACTATCTAAACTAGAAGAGTCTTCTGCTCTCTTACCTACGCTGTCTATTCCATTATGGTACTTTATATTTTTTTCATAGCTTTCTTCAGTATCTGGAATTACGTATTTTAATTTATGATGTTACCCCTATCATGTCCACAGACATAAAGGTGAAGGAGCATATAAAGGAAACAAGCTAAAAGCATAAACAAATCAAGTTAGAAGAGTGTTAAGAATATTGTATTATCAAGTTATATAACATAATTATGAAAATGTTTGGGAAGGTGTGGGATTCAATACAATGAGGGTGAAGTCTGAGGTAATAATCTTGAGGAGAAAAAGAGGTGTTTTACATAAGTTTTTGCTATAGACCCATAAATAATCATTACCATATAGGAATATAGTTTTTATTTACATTTCTCCAATTCATTTTTATATATTCTAAAGAGAGATAATGCTTTCCAAAAGACATTGGGAAGTTTTTAATTTGTCCCTTTTTGTTTTCCTTAATGTCCTCATTCTGCCTGTTTACTTTGCTATGGGAATTTTATGATCATTTTTGTTTTTCTTTCTAAGTTGAAATTCTTATTTCAGGACCACATCTGAGCCAATATCAGAAAAGTACCCATTTATTGCCTGTTATTGTTATGAAACTAGCACATAATCATAGAAATACATTTACTTATTATTTTTTAAAAATTAATTACCAGGGCCGGCTTAGTGGTTAAGTGCGCACGCTCCGCTACTGGCAGCCCAGGTTCGGATCCCGGGCACGCACCAACGTACCGCTTCTCCAGCCATGCTGAGGCCGCGTCCCACATACAGCAACTAGAAGGATGTGCAACTATGACATGCAACTATCTACCAGGGCTTTGGGGAAAAAAAAAAAAGGAGGAGAATTGGCAATAGATGTTAGCTCAGAGCCGGTCTTCCTCAGCAAAAAGAGGAGGATTAGCATGGATGTTAGCTCAGGGCTGATCTTCCTCACACACACAAAAAGAAATTAATTACCAATATAAGGTCAATTAAAAGTCCAATTCACTTACTAGTGAACTATAGCTAATTTTCCAGAATCTTGTTTCCTATTACCGCTCAGTTGATTGCTATCCTTTTGAGAAGAATGCAATGGGGAAGGAGAAATAACCACACTAAAAATTTATTGCCTTATTTAGAAAATCCCAAGGAAAAAAATGATGACACCAAATCACTATGCTTTGAGAGGCACAGATTTAAGTTGTGCTTCTAATAAGACACCATTCCTCATTCCCAGTCTTTCCTCTCGGATCCTCTCTTGGTTGTATCCTCAGGTTAATCTCTGGAGCGTGTATCTTAATTGGCCATAATCACACCTTCTGCCAATCCAAGGCAAAAATTTTTTTCTTTTAGTTGAAATCTACTTTTTCACTACTTGTGTCTAAGCTGAATATCTTTTCATACAAAGCAATTGCTTTATAATTTAATTAATAACTTTGCTTTTCAGGTCAAGTGTCGGAATATACCCACCTTTTCTTAAACCACATTGCTAGAAATTCAAGCAAAGGCTTGTCTCCCAGTTGTTCCTTATAGGGAGCTGGTTGCTCAGTCAAGTCTTGAAGAAGACCCTTAGTTTTTCACGAGATATACCCATTTCTTGCTTTAAGTACTATACAGTCATGCGTCACTTAACAACAGGGGTACGTTCTGAGAAATGCGTCGTTGGGCAATTTCATCGTTGTGTGAGCATCATAGAGTGTACTTACACAAAGCTGGACGGTATAGCCTACCACACACCTTGACTCTATGGCGCTAATCTTATGGGACCACTATCATATATGCCATCCGTCATTGAATGAAATGTCATTATGTGGTGTGTGACTGCACCTTTGTTTTTAGTAACAGAGGAAAACTTAGGTTTAGGTAAATCACTTGCTTCTTGAGTTTTTTGACTCTCAAATAAACCCTTTATGATTTGCAACCCCCACTAAACCCTACACACCCTTAAGTTGAAGTGAATTGATGATGGATCAAATAATAGACAACTGTCATAAGAAATTGATATTAGCTTCATATACCACAAGCTGTCTAAGCACACTTCTTTCCCTTTAGAGCAAGGAGGAAATTAACGTTGATTAAGCCATGCACTGGGCTAGTACTTTACCCATATTATCTTATTTGATCTCAATGCATATTCAGTATCTTCTACATAGAAACAATCTTTTCTTATCACTACATGTTTAAAAATATTTATATACAATTTAGAGATTAGAATTAAACATCAGTAGTACCAGAAAAATTAAACATCATAATGTGAGTTTTTATAGTTCTGTGGAGATTATAGATATATCCTTAAGCTAAGAATAGGCTATGCATGTGATGAAACCTGGCATTTATTAAATGGAAAATATTAATAGCTATTTTGATTCTGCAAGTAAAGGGGACACTGAAGGGTTTTAAGTTGGGAAGTAATATGTTGAAATTCTTTTATTGAAAGAATAATCCATCAGCAGTTTGATGGATAGATTAGGGTAATATAAAACTAGAAACGGGGACATGTGTTGGGATCCTGGTGAGAGAACTTAGGTTTCAAATTGTGGAAATGAAGAGGGAAAAATGAGGAAAATGAGGTAGGATCGATAGGCTTCAACAACTAGTTGGCACAATGGGTGATGAAAGGACAAGACAGAAGAATCAAGAATCATTCCCGTATTTCTGGGTTGAGTTTTCTGTTGGATAGTTTTGCAAATCACTAGGATGATGGAGAATGATTTCCCAAGGGAAAAAGTTTTTCATGTAAGACAATGAGTTCAGGACTGAATAGATGTATTAAGGTTGGTGTGAATGCCTGAGGATATCCAGGTGTATGTATTTAGTAGAATCTTGGATACACAGGTCCGAGCTAAAAGGAGAGATTTGGACTAAGAGGAGAGATTTGAGAATCATCAACACAGACAGTGTTAAAGCTACAGAAATGGATAAGCTTGCCAGGGAAAGTATACAGAGTGAGGAGAACATTGGCTGAAGACAGATCTGTGGAGAAATTTTTAAGGCAATAAAAAGAACCTTTCTGATAAGCCCTCTGCAAATCTAAATCTAAATAATTTCTACACAGCTATTT